GGCGACGCGTTGCTCGAGGTAGATTCGCCCTGGATATGCCTCTCGGGCCCCGTGCAGCAGCAGCAGATGAAGCGGGGGGGGCGCCCCGAGTGCCCGATGGACATCACCTACCCCGAGTTCTGCAGTATCTCCAGCTTGTGCCTCCAGGATTTGAGGGCGCGGTCCAAGGCGGTCCCGCGCCAGATGCGCCGCGCGGGCGCCTCGATGGACATGGCGCGGAAGTGGCGACGGCTGGGGGAGGTCCCGAAGCGGGGTCAATGGACGACCGCGCGGAGCGTCGCCCAGCGCGAGCACGCCAGGCCAGCGGCCACATGGGCGACGCTCTCCCGGGCCCAGCAAGACGTGCTCCTGGTTTGCGAGCGCATCATTTTGGAGCACGCCTCGCCAGTCGACTTGCGGGAGATCAAGCACGTCTGAGAGGCCGCTACCCGCTACCTGGCAGACAACTTCAGCGGCAAGGGAGGAGTGGGCCGCCCGCGGCGTGCCCGTCAGTTTCCGGGATGCGCCGCGCGGGCCAGAGGGCGACCTGACGAGGCGCCCAGTCCACAACGTTTGCGTTCGGACAGTGCTAAGGGCCTCGTCCTGGCTGCGATGCTGGCCCCGCCGCGCGGCCCTTGGACCACGGCGGCGGACCGGGCAGGGGCCATGCGGCCCGCCTCCCAGTCTCGGGGGCTCCCCTTGCGGCTTTTGCATGAGAAGCAGCAGGCCCGCCTGGCATCTGGAATTACGACCGCGCGGGCCGCGCTGGCCATCTTGAGATGCTGGGGGGAGTTCCAAGTTCCCTGCGTCCTTAAACATCCAGGAATTCACGAGTCTGCGCAACGAGAGAGGCTCAGGGGGTGCTTGAACGCGGGGTCGCGCCAGGTTTTTTGACCAGTGTTAGGAGGGGGGCAGCCTGCGCAAACGTCGTGTTCTGCCTCGTCCAGCATCAGAAACAGCACTGCGCCCACCTCGTCCTCTCCTTCATGCAGGATCTGCACCAGAGGCAGCCGAAGTACTGGATCGGCAATATCCAGCAGCAGTTCAACGGCTGGTGCTTCAGGGGGCACACCTTCCGCGTCCTCGTGGACGTCCGGGCCCAGCATCGCGGGAAGCATTGCTCTCGCACGCGGCCCGTGGACATGCGCCAAATGGTGCAGCCCATGGTCTGCGCGGAGAATGGATTGCACAGGTGGAACCGCGAGGCCAGCTGGGACGATTGCGCAGCTCCGAGGGAGAAGTGGCCGACTGCTTGCTTTTGCTGCAACAGTTCTTCCATCTTCGCTGCAACAGCTCCACCCGTTTTCTGGGTGTGCCGAAAAAGAGACAGGCCCGCCCACAATAATCATAGCTGTCAGTTGCCCTAGCTCAAGCCGATATCTGACGTGGGATGTTAGGGCTCAAGTCGAGACCTCACACTGGATGTTAGAGCTGGAGGTCGCTGGCCTGCCGAAGCTCTCTTCTCTTCCCCCAGGAGGTCGCCGTCGCCCCCCTCTCCTCCGTCCGCCCCCTCTCTCCGCAGGTGGTCGTCGGCGATCTCGGCCGCGGGGGGGTCGCGAACCCCCGCGCCAGGTTGCAGAAGAAGCTGCGCGCCAGCGACGACGAGATCAGCGCGCCCACGCCCCAATCACAGGCCCCCCGACATCTTCCAAGGGAACCGGCGCTTTCAGGAAGATCTGGACACGCGGTCGTTCGGTTGCTTGATCGCGGAGTTATGCGCGCGCCGGCCGCTTTTCTCCAGAGCGAGCGGCAGGGACTTCGCGGGCGCCATGACGAAGCTCCTGGGGGCACCAGGCTGCGAGAGAGAGGGGGTGCGGATGGCGGGGTGCGCAGCCACGCGGCTGGATTCCTTGCTTTTCTCCAAGAAGTGGCGCGGGCAGTCAGGCGAGACTCGGCTGTCGGCCGCTGCTCCTTGCTGCGTGCGGCCGCGGCGCTTTTCGGCGCGCGCCCCGTGGAAGTGAAGGTGGAATGTCATGAGCAAATCGTCCTCCTTCAAGAGCCGGGGCCCTTCTACGTGGGGAACCTGAGCCACGGCGTGCTCCGCCACGAGGAGTGCCAGCGCACTTTCGACGGATCTGCTGACACAGCGAAGACCGACGACGCCGACGACCTGCGGCCGCAGATCGGCGCCGCGCTTCGCTCCGACGTGTTTCGGGAGGGCGGGGCGCGCAAGATCTCCACGCCTGGCCCTGCGGAGCTCTTCCGCGTCGTGAACTACGCCGCGGCCCAGCACTTGGCCGAGGTCCCCATGGCGCCCCCTGATATGACGGAGGTGATTTCCGAAGTGTCGCGCGCTGGCCGTGCGCGGCAGCGGGCCATCTTTTGTTTCTCGCGACGGCGGCGGCATGATGATGACGACGGCGGCGACGATGACATCTGATCTTGCATGACGACGGTGGCGATGATGATGGTGGTGATGATGGTGATGATGATGATGGTGATTGCGACGGCGATGACGATGACGATGGCGATGGCGATGACGATGAACAACGACGGTGTGATGATGATGACGCTGGCGATGGCGATGGTGATGATGTTAATGATGATGATAACGATGACGATTATAATGAAAACCATCGGACGCCGATGGGGTTAGTTGAGCACCGAAAGCTCGCCCTGGTCCAAGCCAGGAGCCCCCCTATGATTCCAACTCGTGGCGTCCAGGTTTTCCTTTTCGCAAAAAAGCTCGAGGAGGAGGGCGCAGGCAAAGGGGGCGACGGAGATGACTACTCCCCAAGCCAAACCCTTTGATGCACGCTGACATGGTCTTCGGATTTGCTGTCAACCGCCTTGCTATAAGAAAGGTTATCCAACTGGTCGCAGGTCATGCGGGCAGAATCGTTCCCTGGGGTGTGGCCTGCTCTTATCGCATGGGGCACGCTAGGTTCATGCCGTGCGTGCCCACCCCGGGATGTTTCTCCCTTTTCGCAATTCGCCAATATGACTACTATTCTCCCTCCTCTCCGTGACGTTGCCGGGAAGATTTCCCGCCCCCTCCGCGTGCACTTGTTTTTTATGCATGAGTTTAGACGCTGGTTTCTCGCATGGCTTTGTACAACCGAATTGCTTCCAGTGTTTCAAAATGGTGCTCTCGCTGCAGCGTGGGCCTCGTTTTCGGATCGGTGCGTCCGGCGTTCAGAGTGACGCGCTCTCGCCCCAGCGCGGGTCATTTTTCTGGATCCGAGTTCTGCTTCGCTGTGGTCCCCCCATGTGTTCCCCTCCGCCTTCCCCTGGTCCTCCTCTTCCTTCCGCCCCTTGCAGTCCAATTCCTGTTTCTTCTGTTCGTCTCGCCCCAGCGCGGGCCACTTTTCTGAATCCGAGTCTTCATTCATCGCTGTCGCCCTTGTATTGTCCCTCCTCCGCCTTCCCCTGGCCCCCCTTCCCTCCCAATCCTTCCGCTTTGGTTCTTGCTGCTGCTGTTCGTCCTAATCCTTTTTCTCCCGTTCATCCTCCTACTCGCCCGCCACCTCCGCCTCCTCCTCCTACTCACGCAGCTCATTGCTCCCGATTGCGCATAACACGAAGTGATCTTTCTGTGTGAGTAGCAGGTCGGCTATGACAGACGCCCGGTGATTAAACCAACATCAGCGCCGTGGGAATGGATGGGAGGGAGGGGTAGGATGTCTGATGAGGCGTGAGCGCACCTAGCTTGCCCCCTCCCCCTCTCCCTACCCCCCCTCCCCCTTCCGTTCCCTCGCCCTCCTTGCGTTCCCCCTCCTCCTCTGTTTGCTTTTGCATTGGTTTGCTGGCCTCGGTAGCTGTCGGGGTGGGGTGGGGTACGTGCACGGCCACGTGCGTCTCGTGGCGTTCGAAGATCTGTCACACGAGGCGATGTCGTGTTTCGCCCGCGTGCTTGCGAATGAATCAGCAGGCGGCGGTGCCACGCAGTGCTGAGTATTTGACGATTGTTTACCGTGCGCTGTGCATCACGTGCAGGGAACACCCTTCATTTGAGCGTGCAGGCGTAGCATGAGCAATAGCAAGCTATATAGTAGTGTTTATGTGTTGTCCGTAGCTGCCCGCCATCTGAGTGGTGAAGCTTGGCTTAGGGCGTCGTTACCAGAATGAGCCTCATAGCCTGCATCGCCCATCTGACAGAACATGGGATTCGCTATGATCAGGTTCGCTTCGTCTTCAGCTGAGTGTAATAAACCACGGCAACATGCTAGGGTAGCACAGGCACCTACCCACGATGCTTCGGTTGAAGCTTTCCAAACAGGAGCTGCATAGCCATATTGGGGCTGCCTGGGAGGCAGCGTTCCAATGTTGTGCTGCGTCTTGGCTATAACGTTGCATGATTGTTGCGTTGCCTCTTGGAGGCTTATTGGTGGCTTCTTGGACGCATCTCGGTAGGCATCTTTCGGTGTCTTTTCAGGCCCCGTCGGGGGATTTGGGGGGTTTCTGAAGAGCCCCTTTGGGGCCGGTTGGGGGTCTCGTGCCGTCTTGAGCACGATGGTTCTGCCGAGCTCACCCCGAGAGGCTCCGTTGAACAATCTTGAGACCGTTTGGGCGGAGATTACACCGCCCTGAGTTCAGACCACTGAATCTCAGGCAACATGCATGCAGAGGCAGTGGTTCGAGGCACTGCTTGGTCCTCATGTTTTCGTTTGTGCGTTTGACATTCGCTGCTTGCGTCGATGCGAGTGCTCTTGCGCACCGGTGTGAGTCCACGTGTCATTGAATATAGGACGAGTTGACAGGGGATGAGGTGGAGGAGGTTGAGGATCAACGAGCAGGAGCAAGATGAGGCAGTGAATGGATGTCGTGAGAGAGAGCACGCTAACGTTGAGGAGCGGACTCTAGTTTGTATACACTATGTTCAGAGTAGTGTTGACACTAGGCTGTCACTCGAACTATTCATCATCCGTCTTCGCCGCCTTCGCGTTTTGTGTTCTCCCAGGAAGTTGCAAGACACTGATGATCTGAGCGCATGCAATGGCATGCGTTTGTTTCGCCATTCCGCTTCGGCATGCCAATCATGTCATTAACAGTTTCGCCGCAAGTGCTGAGATCGCCTGCAGGTCATAACCGTGGGCGACTGTCAGCTGATCATGCTGCGCAGAACACAGGCACCCGCCCAAGCCGCGCACATTGTCAGACCATCAGGGTACGTGCGCGTGTTGACACTGGTGGGTCACGGTAGGGTCGATTACACTAAGCGCAAGTGTTGTGGGAGGCAAGAGGAAGAGCAGGGAGTACGACAGGGGAGGGTGGTTATTTGACTTTAGTCCAGCCGTGGTGATCGCATGACGGGTTGGGGTCCTGGAGCAAGTTGCGCAGGAAGGTCTTCGCCACCCGCAACCAAACATTCCCAAGCGGAAGCTATCATTGCATCCAGAGCCGTTGGGACCGTCTTGGACAATGGTGTCAGTTCATGATGGAGGGGAGGCGACGAGGACGAGAAAGGAAGAGAAGAGTGGTCGATGCACGTCTTTGACGTGGGACCTACAGATTGCCCTCCCTCGCCCCTTTCCGCAACCACCTTCGCCTCTGTCCGCGCTTGCTGTTTTCTTGCGCCCCGCCTGCTCTTCAGGGGACCGCTCCGCCAAAGCTGGCACGCAGGCTTAACTGATCTGAACTGACCTCGGACCTACCGGTTGCGGCGCTTACGGAAGTAGTGCACATGTCGACCCATTCATATTGAACCCTCAGACGCGGACCCCTCTCAACAAACTCGTCTTCAAGATACCGAGCCTCCCGCAGTTGCGGATAAACGTGATGGAGGCGCGGGTGGGTTGTGGCGCGGCTGGATCGCTTGTGTGTCGCGGCGCGGGAGTGTCGCGGCGCTGTTGGGTCGCGGGTGGGTCGAGGCACGGGCGAGTCGCGGGGCGACGACCAAACAAGAACAACATCAACAACAGCAATCATTTTAAGACTGTTCGCCCTTATCTGCTCGAGTGTCCAATAACGCGTACTTCCCAAACCTTCCATACCCTCCCTCTTCGTCTTCGATCGAACCCCTTTTGGGGGGTATACCGATCTTCCCTGCAGGCCGGGCACCGGCAAGCGGCGGGGCGGCCGCGGACCGTCGGCCTGGCCAGCGGCAGCGCTGATCGGCGGGGCGGCCGCGGACCGTCGACCCGACCCCAAGAGGGACGGACAGGGGACCGACCGCCACGACGACGACGACGACGTCGACGACGACGGCGACGACGACGACGACAGCGACGACGGCGAGCGAAAGCGAGAGCGAGAGAGAACGACAGTAGGGCCACGAAGGACACGAAGTAGGCCACGAAGGGCGACAACGGGGACACGAAAGGAATGCGTATGGGGCCACGAAGAGCGCGAACGAGCGGGGGCCACGAAGAGCAAATAATGTGGGGCCACGAAAGGCAACGATGAGGCCACTGAGGGTAGCAACTGGGCCACGTAGGACAGTGAGGGGGCCACAAACGGCGACAGCGGGGCCACGAAGGGCATGCACATGAGGCCACAACGGGCGCGAACGAGCGGGGGCCACGAAGGGCATTCGTATGTTGAGCCGCGGATGGCAAGGACGGGGCCACTGAGGGCAGCAACGGCGCCACGAAGGGCAGCGAGGGGGCCACGAAAGGCGACAGCGGGGCCACGAAGGGCATGCACACGGGGCCACCACGGGCGCGAACAAGCGGAGGCCACGAAGGGCATACATATGGGGCCACGAAGGGCAGCGAGGGGGCCACGAAGGGCTGCAACGGGGCCACGAAGGGGAGCGAGGGGGCCACGAAGGGCTGCAACGGGGCCACGAATGGCTGCAACGGGGCCACGAAAGGCTGCAACGGGGCCACGAAGGGCTGCAACGGGGGGGCCACGAAGGGCTGCAACGGGGCCACGAAGGGCAGCGAGGAGGCCACGAAGGGCTGCAACGGGGCCACGAAACAAAGCGAGGGCGCCACGAAGGGCTGCAACGGGGCCACGAAACAAAGCGAGGGGCCACGAAGGGCTGCAACGGGGCCACGAAGGGCAGCGATATCCCGATTCCTAGGTAATCTGTGAGGGAGTCCTAAGCGTGAACGCCACTCCTGGGTGCCTGGATGTCGGGAGCGCGGCGCTTGGGTAAGTTTGAAATTCCAGCGCAAAGGCGCTATTCGCCAGTAAATTGCAAGCGCGTCTCCAGCGAGAACGCGACTCCAGAGCGCCGGGAGAGCGATTCTTAAATAAATTGTCAGGCAATCCCAAGCGAAAGCACGATTCCTGAATCAAATGCGAGGAAGTCTCGGGCGGGAGCGGGGGTCCTGGCTAAATTGTGAGGAAGTCTCAGGCGGGAGCCGTTGTTGTTGTAACCCAGGGGCCAGGGGCTTAGTTTGAGCATCAAGCTTTTCCCTGACAAAAAAAGAGGGTGCGAGCGTCGAAGGGCACACTTTGATTGAGAAAACACAGTATGCACCGGCGGGGGGGGATGAACAACATTAATTCTTCAGAAGTGAGAGCTCAACAACCACATGTTTAGCTTCGAGCGGTCCTTACCCAAGAACGCCAGGCGTGATACCCAACGAGCACAGGAACATGTTGGTACCGAACTCTCTCGCAGACCGTGCGCAGCAGGGGTCGTGGGCCTGTGATGAGGTCGCTGTGGCGTGCACAAAATAGCAGCACGGAGATGTTGCACCCGCACGTTCGTCTGATCACGTTGAGGAGGAAGAGGAGGAGGAGGAGGAGGAGGAGAAGAAGAAGAAGGAGAAGAAGGAGGAGGAGGAGGAGGAAGGAAGACGACCGTACATGTACAGAGGAGGAACACGACCATACGTGCGCCCTGGAGCTGAAAGAAGGACTAATCCTGGGCTTGACGGTTTCGGCCTTCAAACCTGATCGCTTCCCGCGCCCGCGGACGTGAGGTCTCGGGTCGGAATTTGAGGTCGGGACTCCTGGAAGGCGGTGGAAGCCTTGATCGTGGCGATCAGGCGCCTCAGAGCCGCCCGCCAAGTACCTTTGGCGCCGAAGCCCAGCACGGCTCGGCAGGAGTGGGGTCTCTGCGGCGCTCTCGCTCCAGACGCGGAGCGATGCTGAGTGTCCCCACGGAGGACCGCCAGGGAAGGCCAAGAGTTTTGAATTCGGAGGCAAGCGGCGCGTTGCGCGCAGCGGCGCTCGACGTCCCGTCAGCAAATTCATGTCGAAATTCTCTTGCACGTTGCACTGGGCACGCGGAGATTGTCGGGTGACCTTGCGTGTAATCGATGTGTGACAGAGGCGTCAGTTCGACGTTATAGAGTTGCCACCCTTGGAGTTCCCTCCCTGAGCTCCCGCCCCATCGGCGAGGCGCGGAATCTCAATCGGCCAGGCACGGCCCCGAGCTCCCCGCCCACTGTGCGCCGCGCGCAGGTCCCGGTTTCGGAATCGAGGTTCGAGGAGGTCTTCAAGACCGAGATGCAGCGCATCGATGGCCACGTGCCACCCCCGCCATGCCTATCTCTGCGCTAATGTTGATTTCGGATTCGCTCACACATCTCGGGAGTTTCCCTCGTTGCCACGGCACGGTCTTCTTTGAAAACCGTGTCAGGACGGTCATGGGCGCGTTTGGCCGTTGTTGGAGGACAGACATCAGTTCTTTGAAGAACGCGTGAGTGTGGGCGGGACTTCAGCCCGGCCCGAGTTCAGCCTCTCCAGCAAGTCGATTACCAGTTTACCTTTATCATGTTTGGGGATGCGCGCTGTAGTGGCCGTAGTGGCCAGCCAAACATTATATGACGCTGAGGCTTCTCCAGTTGTTCATGGGTCCTCTCCTGGGGTCCGGTCTCTCCTCCCCTGACAATTGGCCTCCTCTGTGGCTTTTGAGCCTTGAGCCCCCCCCCCTGGGCATGGCACCCGTTGAGTTATCTCCTGGGGGGCGGGCCTCTCCCGACCCGAGGCCCCCTTCTGGCATTTCGGAGTCAGATCTCAGGTATCCAGTGGCATGTCCACTGTTTTTTTTCTAGGGCGTCTCCTGGTACCCGTTTCTCCTGAGGTTTCAGCTGCTGCTGTTCCTGAGGTGTCTGTTGCGGAATTTCCTCTTCTGATGCCTAGCTTGAGGCCCCCTGGGCCTATGCAAACAGGTTGACGTAATCAACCCGTGACCCATGTCCCTTTTCAAGCCCCATGTTTTCAGCTTTTCAGGCTTCCTTTAGACAGGATTTCCAATTTCAGGACCTGACATCTTCGAGATGACCTCCGACGCCAACGACGTTCCTGCTCTTTCGCCCCCCCCCCCCCGGTGCGGACCATCATAGGCCTCGCCAGTGAGGACCGTCATAGGCCTCACACCGCTCGCAGCTGCCAACAAAGGGGCTGGTTGGTGGCCCGCCCTCTCCCACCAATTCACCAGTACACCAGTACACCATGCCGTCAATTCACTCCGGGAGGGGGCCGAGGACCTCCCCACGGCCGTTCGGCCACCGAAGACGACCGTAGGGAGGGGCCCAAACGTACCTCCACATTCTTACACCTTGACACAAATCAGCCAAGTATCCGTAGCCATTTTGGCTCAAGATGGCGGGGGGTGGGCAGCAGCTCGAGTCCATGGGACTTTTGTTCGCCGTCCCTCCCGTCACAGGAAAAGTCAGATTTTCTCGCGCGCCTTCGGCGCATCGTGGTTTCACCGACGAAGGCATCTGCCCACCAGACTCCGCAGCCCCTCTGGTGCAGGCTGCCGCTCTCCCTGTGCGATGCCCTCCATGGCGGCGGCGCTGGGGGCTGGCTCCGCTGATCCTCCCGCTGGTCCTTCTGCGCCTCGGGCTTCTGGCGGCTCCTCGGCATGCTCGGCAACTGACGGTGGTGGCGACCCACTGCAGCAGCCTGGAGGCGATCCGTGGCTCAACAAGCGTGCGAGGGACCCGAACGGCGAGCCCACCCCGCGCACCCCCAGAGGAGAAGCAGTGGATCCCATGGACGCGATTAACGCTGCCACCGCTGCTTCCCAGGAGTTCCTCACGAAGCAGTTGGACGTCAAGCTGGCCATGGTCAAGGCGGAGGTCATTGCCAACTTCGGCGAGCAGCTCCAGGGCCCGTTGGCGGCGGTGGTGGGCCAGCTATCCAAGCAAAATGAGCAGTTTAGGGGGGGACATCTCATCGCTCCAGGAGACGGCCCAAAGGATGGAGGCTGCTAACAAGGAAATATGGCAACGGCTCACCGAATTGCGCAAGCAGCTCCACATGCAGGAGGCGCAGATCCCGATTCGTGACTATGAGAACCTCCTGGAGTGGGACAGGGAAGTGGACACCAGCATCATTGTGGGCACCGCTGCCGAGAACTTCACTGCTGACAAGTTCAAGGAGAGCATCCAGCCCATCATGGCAAAGTGCGAGCTCGAGGACACCCAGTGGTCGATCCAAGGCAAGACTCCCGGTAGACGCTTCGTGGTCCAGTTTCTGGGGGGCGCCAACGCCGCTGCCAGGAAGGTTCGCACCATCTACGCCGAGCTCAAGGAAGCCGATGGCACCTGGATCAGCACCGAGGTCACCAACGTCCACGGCCACGCCTCGCGGCTCTACCTGGGTCTGGACCGCTCGGCGAAGTCGGCAGGGCGAGAGCTCCAGACCAAGAAGCTGGCTCAGTTCGGTCGCGAGCTCGCTCCTGAGAGGCGCTGGAGGGCTGACCGACAACAGGGCATCATCTACTGCAACAACATGCCAGTCGCATCGGTGGTGGTGGGTGCCACCCGAGAGACCCCCTCGCGCCTGCTCTTCAACTACGACGGCTGCTGCACGCACAACATCGAGAGGGAGGCCATCAAGAAACGGTGCGAGGAGTTCTTCCAGAACACGTTGGAGGAACGGGAGGTTCAGTGGCGGATTTAGCCGTACCTCGGCGCCTTGGCGGGCGCCTCACTCCCTCGGCAGCGTCACGCCCTCGACTTGGCATGCCCGCGCTCTTCTCTGCAACGGCGCGCAGCAGCGCGAGCGCAAGACCCACTGTATGAACGAGGTGCTGCGCTCCTCGTCGCTGATGGCCCTTCAGGAGGCACGCGGCTCGCATGCTGAACTTCTTCGTGATGTGCACCTGGCTCACCTCGAGGCGGCGGTCTTCTCGTCGATCCCTGAGCGCGGCGCTGGTGGAGTTGCAACCATTGCCCCTGGCCTATCCCAGTCCACGGTCGGCGACCCCACGCGCTTCGCGCACGCGGAGATCGTCCCTGGCAGGGCGCAACGATTACTCATCAAGATCAGCTCGGCCCCTGACGACGCCCTTCCGAATGTGGTCGTCATCTACAACGCCCACAACTTCAGGCTCACTGAGCAACGGGTCACGAGGGTCACTCGCCCCCTCCGCGCTGAAGTCCTAACGGCTGAAGCGCAGCCCGAGCGGATCACGGTCATCGTCATGGGCGACTTCAAGTTCATGGACGAGGCGCCGATGGAGACGCATACGCCATTGATCAACAAGGGACCCCCGCGTCTCCGTCGGCACAATCCTGAGCATTAGCTGGCGCGGGAACCAGTGCTGCAGGAGATAACGGAGATCGCCCCCGAGGGTCCCGCCCACTTCCCGAGCAGTCGCAGCAGCGCACGCGCATCGACAAGATCTACATCAGCACGCCGCCGTGGATGCCACTGCAGTGGCGCGCTCGAGCTGGCGCCCCGCTCGCGCCTGAGGAGCTCTACGACCGTGGCATATCGGATCATGCGCCTGTCCACCTCCGCTTAGCTGGGCGCAATCCTGAGCTCGATGGCCAGGCCCAGCCGATTCCGAAGTACATATTTGAGAGCCCGCTATTCGAACACTACCTTGGCATCCTGACGGAAGTCTCTCCACGGCGCGATTATGCCCCCTTCGTGCAGCTGATCGAGATCAAGCGATTGCAACGCGAAGCTGCTCGCCTCGCACGCAACGACCTCACCAACTCAAGAGCCCCATGCACTGCGGCGGGGCTCACTGCATGCCGATCGATCTCTAGAGCTGTCTGGAGGAATGACCTGAAGGCGGCGCGCGCTTCATGCTCGCACGGCGCTTGGAGCAGAACGCCTGGGCACCACGGGCACGAACAACATCTCCCTGAAGAACCCGATCGCCTTCCGCAGAAAGTTCGCGGAGCTCCAGTTCCAGGCGCAGTGCTTGGAGGCGATCCTGTAACGCGGCCTCGCCAAAGACGGGCAAGCCAAGTTCTCGACCGCCTCGGACACTGCGATTGAACAGCGCTGCATGGAGCGCGTTGCCGAGCGCCGCTCAGGGCGCGTCACCGAGGCCCTGTCTTTGGCCCGCCAGCTTGAAAGGAGGCGCCAGTCAGGTCGGCGCGAGCGGGCGGTGAGGGGGGGGAACTCCCTCGCCCCGCCGCCCGCAGGATTTCGCCGATGTGGACGACGACGGCTGGGCCGCCCTGGCCCGCGCCGTCGACGTCTCCGCCTTTTCGCGGCGCGCTCTGAAGGTTGCCGAAGGGTCGGCTCCGCAGTCAGACGTGGACGCGCGCGCCGCGGGGCGTCGACCGCGGGCGTATCAGGCGCTGCGCATGGCCTGCCATGGCAGTGGCGCTGCTGTGACCAAATAAATAGCAGCGCAGTCTTTGTTGCATGCTCGCGGCGGAATTGGAGTCGACCGCTCCGGCCGCAGCCGCGCCGCCCCTGACAGAGGCGCGCCGGCACCTCGTCGACCGCGGCGCCAGCGGGGCAGCCCTGAGCAGCCATGGGGAAGGCGCGCATCATCCAGCGACGAACTGGCCTGGCAAGCGCCGCGCGCCCCCGAAGACCGCGGGCCGCCCGGAAACGGGCGCGCAGGGGGGCGGGCCCCAGAGGACAAACGCGATCCCTAATCAGAACGCCCAGTGCTTGATGGCGAACGCGGACGGCCCCAACCCTCGGGCAAGGACTCAGCACCGCCAGGGGCAGAGCATCGGGTGCCATCAGAACCAGATGCGTTAGGGGCAGCATCAGAAGAGCTAGCAGCATCGCGCGGACCAGGGACTTTCGAGACGGGGCAACCACCGCTGAAGAGCTCGCGCGCAGGGTCAGGCTCACAGCTATAGGACGCTGGCGCCACGCCTTCCAGCCCAGCGACGAGCGTCGAGTCGTTCATCCAGGGCGCGGCCCCCGCCCCTACAAAGATGAGCCGCAGAGAGGCGCGCGCCCGCGGCGTGCGTTCGCGTGCAGAAGGTCCAAGACGCACGCGCGTTCGCGCGCGCGTGAGAAGGGGGGCGCCTCCGTCATCCTCCGCCACCATTTCCCCCTGCGTCGCGCGCGTTCGCGCGTCGACCTGCGCGCGCAGGTGGATCCCCCCGCGTGCGCGCGCGTGCTCGGCAACACGCGCGCGCGTGCGTTGCGTCGTGCGTTGCGTCGCACGTGCGTTCGCACGCGCGCTGCGAAACTTTTCTCCGGGTTCGCGCGGCCGACGGGGCCAGCTTTCCCCGCGCGTTACTTTTCCGGCTGAGACTGCAGTTAATGGCCCAGCAGCAAGCGGCGCGGTCCGCTCAACACTCGATGCTAGCATCCAGCCAGGCTCAAGCAGGCGCGCCCCCACCGCGGCCCTCCGTCCTCGGGCCTCCAATGAGGGCGTACTGCAGGAGGGTGAGCAGGCGCCCCAAGCTGAGCAGGCTCCAAAAAAGGCATCTCGGGGCCAGGGTTCGCGCCCTCGGGGCCCACATCAAATGCGCGAGGCGCGCGGTCGAAGACGCGCTGCGGTGGAATTTTGAAGCGCGGCCAGTTCCAGGCGGCGCATGTTCGGCCGATGGGAGCGGCGGCGGAGGCTTTCAGCCAGGTGCCTGAGGCGCGGGCGCCGTCGCGCCCCCCTGACGCGGGCGGGCGCGTGGATCCGCGAGGACGTCCCTGCGCGCCCTTTTCTGATCGTGCCCTCCTCCCCCTCAGGCCCGGCGCGTTGCCGCCCGCTGGTTTGTCGCGCGTGGCCGCGGGCCCTGCCTCAGAAATCCACGCGCGGCCCGACTGGCGCCGCGGCAGCATTGCAGGCGCAGCGCTGCGCAACGCGGCGCGAGACTGCAGGCGCAACAGGCGCAGCCAACGCGTCGTCGCAGGCACAACTTGCAGGCGCAATTGGCGCGAGTGGCACACAGCGCAACGCGCGCGCATCGGCCACAATCCAAAATACAATTAAGGCAACATGCTCGACAGCCACTTCCAGCACCACTGGCAAAATTGGCACCGATGGTAGAAGTGGCGCGCCAGGCACGCCAGGCACGGGGCGTTCCTGGCACAACTGGCGCAACGGGCGCAGCACGCACAAGCGGCACAATCAAGAAACCCCGCGCGCCTCGCAGACCTGGCGCGGATCTTTGCCACGACGGTTCTCTGGCGAACGGTGTCGGCGCATGCTCGTTGGCCTCCTGGTCCCCCCCTCCTATTCCGCCCCCCCTCGCTCGCGGCTTCTCGCTTGCTCGTGGCGCGCGTGCCTAAGGGCCCCTGTTCGTTTCCGTGTGTCCGCCCGCCCTCGCTTTTTCCCTCTCGCCATGCGCGCGCGCCTTGGTCGACCCCCCCATGGCCCCCCCTCCTCTCGCCTGTTTCCGCCGTGCGCCGCGCGCCCGGCGCACTGCCCCGAGTCATCCCGGCCGTTCCCGCCCCCGATGAATTCGCAGCGCACTCCGAGGGACTTCCGGCCAAACGGGCGCGCCGCCCAAAGGATGGAAGTTCACGCCGCGCCCAAGGGGCGTTTGCTTGGTTCTCTGCGGGCAATCGACAGGGGCGGTCGAGGCGCACGTTGCCGCCCGTGCGTGGGGCCCCCAAATGCGAGGGTGGAGCTCGAGGGCAAGTTGGCCGGCTTGGAAGCGTTCCTGGCACGCGTCCCCAAGGGCGCTTGGCGGGAGGCCCTCGCAATCTAACGCGCGCCACAATGCGCGGCCATTCGGGCGCGATGCGCCCCGGGGGGCGCGCGCGGCGGAGCGTCCCGGGGCGCCCCTTGGGCGCCCCGCGCGCGGGCCTGCAGCTCGGGCCCGCGTGCGCCGCCGAAGGCCCCGTGCGTTCGGCGGGTGAGAGGCGCCCCATCCGAGTGGTCTCGGCGCGACGGTTCGCCGCCTGCTGGCCGCCCACTCGGCGACCCAATCAATGCTCCCACTGGTCGGCCATCCAGGTAGCCAGCCACGGCAGCCGCGGCCTCCCATCGGCCGCCGCCCTGTCGGGCGCCTTCGGCCACCGCCGAGCAACGGCCCCCGTGCGCGATGAAGACGGACGGGCGAGGGCAGAGGGGCCACGGAGAGAGGCGGGGCGCAAGGCGGCATTCGCTGAGAGCATCGAAGCCGCCAAGGGCGACGACAAGGAGGCGGCCATGGAGGCGGCGCTCAGAGTCGCACGCGCCGTTCCCAGCGCGCCCCAGAGTCGCATGCGACGGCCTCGGGCGCGCAGCCTTGGAGGCGGCCGCGAGCGAGTCGAGGCTCGCGAGCGCGCGGGGGCCCAAGGCGCCGCCCGTCCTGTGCGAGGCGCGGAAGGCGCCGCCGCCGCGCCAGCCCAGGGCGCCGGGGAAGGCGCCGCCGCCTGGGGCGTTTTTCGACCCCGCGGCGCGCGGCGTGCTGGTCGACGCGCACGGGCCCAAGGTGCCGCCGCCCGCCCTTCTCAAGTCGCCGCCGCTCAACGCGCCAAGGCCGCCGCCGCCTCTGTCGCGGAGCCGATGATCCAAGCGGACAACAGAGAGCGGCATCGCAATGCGCCAGGGCGCCCAGCGCGAACCCGCTGCAAGTGCCAGCTCGAGGCGCTCAGCCCAGCGGCAGCTTGCAAGCGCCAGCCTCGGGCCCCCAGCTTCAGGCTTCCAGCTCCCAACGTTCCCGCCAGTGGCAGCGCGATGCTTTCAATGCTGCAAGTGGCACTGCGGCGTGAAAGGTAGGCCGCTGCATGTGCCAGCAAGACGCTGTCATACTTAAACCTGCAGCCCAGTAGCAGCGGGATGATTTCAACGCTGAAAGTGGCGAAGCCACAATCACCATCATCACAGGCGCCAGCATTGCAACCATCTTCGCCACCATCATCACCATCAACACCTTCGTGCTCATCACCATCATCACCATCGCCGTCAGCATCGTCACCATCGTCACCGGACCTGCGGGCACGCAGGTTTCGAAAACACTCCGAGCCTGCATGCACATAGGTTCAATTTAGAACGAGCAAGGTCAAAGTTTGAACAAGTGGCTCGTTATCTACCGCAGGCAGTGGAGCACAGAAGACGGAGGCGGCATGCGAGAGGGAGTGCGGAACGACAATTCGAGACCCTTGGGGAATCGACGTTTGAACAACTGTTTTCCCAACCCTCCTGCGTTGGGTTTTCGTTTTGAATAGAGCACTGCGGTCGCACGCCTCCTCCCGCCCCTTCTCCCCTTCTCTCCTGCCTCTCCCCTCGCTCCTTCCTGCGTGCCGGCTCGCCTCCTACCTGGTCATCCCTGGGGGGTCTGCGATCTGCGAGACTGTCACTGCGATCGGCGAACTTGTCGCCAGTTTCGAGGGCTGCTGTGGGGGCCAACGGAGCGACGTCCTTCGCGGACTCAAATGAGACCTCGCTATTATGCGAAACGGTCGCCATTTTCAAAGGCTGCCGGGGGGGTCAGCGGAGCGACGTCATCCGCGGACTCAGACTAGGCCTCGCCTGCCCTGGGGGGCTGCGACCTGCGAAATTGTCGCCACTTTCGAAGGTTGCTGGAGGGTCCAGCGGAGTGACGTCTTACGCGGGCTCAAATTCGACCTCGCCATCCGCGGGGGGCTGCGATCTGCGAAACGGTCGCCACTTTCGAGGGCTGCCGGGGGGTCCAGCGGAGCGACGTCTTACGCGGACTCAGACTAGGCCTCGCCTGCCCTGGGGGGGGGTGGTCTGCGAAACGGTCGCCACTTTCGATGGCTGCTGGGGGGTCCAGCAGAGTGACGTCTCACGCGAATCCAGACTAGACCTCGCCATCCCTGGGGGGCTGCGATCTTCGTGACCATCGCCACTTTCGAGGGCTGCTGTGGGGTCCAGCGGAGTGACGTCTTACGCGGGCTCAAATTCGACCTCGCCATCCGTGGGGGGGTGCGATCTGCGAAACGGTCGCCACTGCGATCTGCGAAATTGTCGCCACTTTCGAGGGTTGTTGGAGGGTCCAGCGGAGTGACGTCTTTCGCGGGCTCAAATTCGACCTCGCCATCCGTGGGGGGCTGCGATCTGCGAAACGGTCGCCACTTTCGAGGGCTGCCGGGGGGGTCCAGCGGAGCGACGTCTTACGCGGACTCAGACTAGGCCTCGCCTGCCCTGGGGGGCTGCGATCTGCGAAACGGTCGCCACTTTCGAGGGCTGCTGGGGGGTCCAGCAGAGTGACGTCTCACGCGAATTCTGACTAGACCTCGCCATCCCTCGCTATTTTCGAGGACTGCTGGGGGGGGGGGCCAGCGGAGCAACGTCTTATGCGGGCTCAAATTCGACCTCGCCCGCCGTGGGGGGCTGCGATCTACGAAACCGTCGCCACTTTCGAGGGCCGCCGAGGGTTCAGCGGGGCGAAGCACCACCCAGACTCAGGTTAGACCTCGCCTGCCCTGGGGGTGGTGCGATCTGCGAAACCGTCGCCACTTTCGAGGGCTGCTGGAGGGTCCCGCGGAGCGCTGTCGCGGGCCGCCCGCAAACTTGGCGGCGCGCCTTCGAGGATTCAGCTCGCGCGCTGAACAGAAGGAGGGAAGCAGGGAAGCTGGCGGACGAGCTAGGCCTCGCTCGCTTCTTTCACTAACGAGAAACACATTTAATCATTTTGCCGAGCGCCGCGGCGTCATGGCGCAGGCAGCGCTGCATCTTTAGCGTACTACCGACAACCGCAACATCCTTTGGTCTCCTCCAGTCACTTTCCTCGTCGTCCTCGCCCCCCTGCCACGTTCCCTCTGCTACTGCCGCGCTGACGGTTCGGCCCCCCACGCGTCATTTTCCTGCCCTTCGGTCCCGCCCCCATGTCCTCCTCAAGCCTGGGCCCTTGCTCCCCGTTTTTTTACCTAACAGCGAAGACTGATAGGTTTCTAGTGGGGTAAAAAGAGAGCAGCAGATGACTCCACAGGGGGGTCTGGGCAGCCGTTGGGGAGCCGTTGGGGGGCCGTTGGGGGGCCGTTGGGGGGCCGTTGGGGATTGCCGGGGAACTTCGTTTTTCGCAAACAGTCACACACTTCGTGCTCTTAAGACTCCATTCTTCGACCTCCCAGAATTGCATTCCCGTGCCACATTCTGAATGCCCGGAGCCAAATGTAGGCCACTTCGTGGTCTTCGAGTTCCCAGAACTCCATTCCCGGCGTACATTTTGGATGCCCGGAGCCAACTGTAGGCCACTTCGTGGTCTTCGAGTTCCCAGAACTCCATTCCCGGGCCACATTTTGGATGCCCGGAGCCAACTGTAGGCCACTTCGTGGTCTCCGAGTTCCCAGAACTCCATTCCCGGGCCACATTTTGGATGCCAGGAGCCAACTGTAGGCCACTTCGTGCTCTTGGACTTCCCAGAATTCCATTCCTGGGTATGATTTTGAATGCCCGGAGCAAACTGTAGGCCACTTCGTGTTCTTCGAGTTCCCAGAATTCCATTCCCTGGCCACATTTTGAATGCTGAGGCAGGCTGATGCTGAGGCTGAGGCAGGCTGAGGCAGGCTGAGGCTGAGGCCGAGGCTGAAGGCAGACTGAGGCTGAGGCTGATGCAGGCTGAGGCTGAGGCTGAGGCTGAGGCTGATGCAGGCTGAGGCTGAGGCAGGCTGAGGCTGAGGCTGAGGCTGATGCAGGCTGAGGCTGAGGCAGGCTGAGGCTGAGGCCGAGGCTGAAGGCAGACTGAGGCTGAGGCTGAAGCAGGCTGAGGCTGAGGCTGAGGCAGGCTGAGGCTGAGGCTGAGGCAGGCTGAGGCTGAGGCAGGCTGAGGCTGAGGCTGAGGCTGATGCAGGCTGAGGCTGAGGCAGGCTGAGGCTGAGGCCGAGGCTGAAGGCAGACTGAGGCTGAGGCTGAAGCAGGCTGAGGCTGAGGCTGAGGCAGGCTGAGGCTGAGGCTGAGGCTGAGGCAGGCTGAGGCTGAGGCAGGCTGAGGCTGAGGCTGATGCAGGCTGAGGCAGAGGCAGGCTGAGACTGAAGCCGAGGCTGAAGGCAGACTGAGGCTGAGGCAGAGGCAGGCTGAGGCTGAGGCAGGCTGAGGCTGAGGCTGAGGCAGGCTGAGGCTGAGGCAGCTGAGGCTGAGGCCGAGGCTGAAGGCAGACTGAGGCTGAGGCTGAAGCAGGCTGAGGCTGAGGCTGAGGCAGGCTGAGGCTGAGGCTGAGGCAGGCTGATGCTGAGCAGGCTGAGGCTGAGGCTGAGGCTGAAGCAGGCTGAGGCTGAGGCTGGCTGAGGCCGAGGCCGAGGCCGAGGCTGAAGGCAGACTGATGCTGAGGCTGAAGCAGGCTGAGGCTGAGGCTGAGGCAGGCTGAGGCTGAGGCTGAGGCAGGCTGATGCTGAGGCAGGCTGAGGCTGAGGCTGAGGCTGATGCAGGCTGAGGCTGAGGCAGGCTGAGGCTGAGGCCGAGGCTGAAGGCAGACTGAGGCTGAGGCTGAAGCAGGCTGAGGCTGAGGCTGAGGCAGGCTGAGGCTGAGGCTGAGGCTGAGGCAGGCTGAGGCTGAGGCAGGCTGAGGCTGAGGCCGAGGCTGAAGGCAGACTGAGGCTGAGGCTGAAGCAGGCTGAGGCTGAGGCTGAGGCAGGCTGAGGCTGAGGCTGAGGCAGGCTGATGCTGAGGCAGGCTGAGGCTGAGGCTGAGGCTGATGCAGGCTGAGGCTGAGGCAGGCTGAGGCTGAGGCCGAGGCTGAAGGCAGACTGAGGCTGAGGCTGAAGCAGGCTGAGGCTGAGGCTGAGGCAGGCTGAGGCTGAGGCTGAGGCAGGCTGAGGCTGATGCAGGCTGAGGCTGAGGCTGAGGCAGAGGCTGAGGCTGAAGCAGGCTGAGGCTGAGGCTGAGGCTGAGGCTGAGGCAGGCTGATGCTGAGGCAGGCTGAGGCTGAGGCTGAGGCTGAGGCAGGCTGAGGCTGAGGCTGAGGCCGAGGCTGCAGCAGACTGAGGCTGCAGGCTGAGGCTGATGCTGAGGCAGGCTGAGGCTGAGGCTGAGGCTAATGCAGGCCACTGCGACTGTCATCGCGAATGCGACTACGACTGCGAGAACAGCAGAACTCTACAACTGGATTATCATCTGAATCTTAAGGGGGATGCTTCCAGATATGCTCCTACACATCGCTGTTAGGTTGCTTTGCCGGGATAATGGTTGTTGTCATGTGAACCGTGCTGCGCGAGCACACCCTATGTAGCCCGCACAACATACAACGGCGCGTGCAGTGTCACTGTCCTGGCAAATTGGGGTATTTTTCTTGACGCTTAATGCAAATGGGTTGGGCACGTCGCAGGTTAATGTTGCACACTGTATACCACATTCAAATGTTTGAAGGGCGTGTTGACGTAGCCTGTCAGGTCCACATGTCCCGTGCATCCGCGCCGATGCTCTATGTTGAGTTGCTGCACCGTCTTCACACCACGCTTTATTATTTAATAGCTTCGCTCATTCGGCCGGCCCTGGAGCCCTCTTTAGGGCCTCTTGGGGGCCTCTTGGGGACCTCTTGGGAGTCTCTTGGGGCTCCTTGGCGGCGTCTTGGGGGCCCCCAGGGCCTCTTGGGGGGCTTTTGGGGGCCTCTTAGGGCGGGAGGGGGGGTAGTCGATTGCGGCTCCCCCCTCGGAGGCCACGATCCTCGTGAGGGGTGTCGGAAAATGGCCCTCCCCTGGAGTGCTCTGGTGGCTTCTCCCGGGACCTTGCCAGGGTACTTTTCGTCCGGGGGCCCCCAGGGGCCGCTCCGCGCGCGCGAACTAGAAATATTGTTAACCAGTTACTTGAGATCTTAGCACGCCTCTGGCCCGTTGGGCCGGCGAATTCGGTTTGCACAGCAGTACTCCTTGTTCTCACTTCGCACAGCTTCTGATAACGTCGCAGCGTTCTCCATCGCGCCGAAGAGGTGCAGACCCCGTTGCAGATAGCCCGAATTGGCAAGGATGTTGACCCAAACTTCCACGACGGCATCACTGTGGAGGCGAACCTTCGATTAGAAGAAGGAGGGACATCACGAGTGTAGTGAGACGGGTGTTTGTCCCATGGAGAGCGATACATTATATTATTTCTAGTGTTTTCCACCACTGCGCCTCTTGGGAAGCCTCGTGGGCGCCTGCTTGAGGCTGCGCTGTGGCACACTGGGTGCATCTTGAAGGCCTCCTGGGTGTTTCTTGGGAGACACCTCTCGGACTTCTCTTGCGCCCCTTTGAGGGTCCGCTCGGGTAATTACGTTCCCGGGGCCTCGGGAGCCCTCTTCGAGCTTCCTTGAGGGCCTCTTGGGTCATGTTGGATGCGTGATGATTTCTGCCTCTTGGGCCGGCACCCGTTGCTTGGAGGCCCAAGAAGGGCTCGAAGACGGCATGTTGGGATCATCCGAACAACGTTCACAAGTCCTCAGGAAGAGTTTCTTTACAAAAACTCTCAAGGGCACAATGTAACGCACAGGAGCGCCCAAGAATTCTGGAAATCTGGGGTCTGGGCCGCTTAAAGAGTTCTTATGGTCGGCAATCATACAACTCGAAGGGATATGATGGCACTCCACTTCCAGCCTCGCGGCCCGGTGGCGGATTGACGCTTCAGGTATCCCCACCAGCCCGTCCAGAAACGATGCCCATGCGATTTGCTGGGGAGACGGAAGCAGATTATCACATAAGAAAGAGCGTGGTGTTCTACCGGTTCGAACCCCCCCCCTCGAAATCCAGGGGGGGTCACTACCGGTTCGAACCCCCCCCCCCTCGAAAACCGAGTGGGGGTGCGGACAGTGGTGGGGGCGGTGGTGGTGGGGACAGCGGTGAGGGGACAGCGGGACAGTGGTGGGGACGGTGGGGACAGTGGTGAGGACAATGGTGGGAACAGTGGGGACAGTGGACAGTGCTGGGGACGGTGGTAGTGGAGACAGTGGTGTGGGGACAGTGGGAATGAGGTGGAAACAGTGGGACAGTGGAGGGTACAGTGGTGGTGGGGACAGTGGTGAAGGCGGTGGCGAGGACGGCGGTGGGACAATGGGACAGAGGTACAGTGGGGACAGTGGTGGGGACAGTGGGGACAGTGGTGGGAACAGTGGGACAGCTCAGTGGGACAGCGGAGGAGTCAGTGGGACAGTGGGGACAGTGGGGATAGTCGGGCAGTGGTTGGGGCCGTGGAGAAAGTGGGGAGAGTGGAACCGTGGTGGGAACAGTGGTGGGGACAGTGGGGCAGTGCGACAGTGGTGGGGGCACTGGTGGGGACAGTAGGGACGGTGGTGGAACCAGTGGGACAGTGGTGGTGAGGACAGTGGTGCTGGGAACAACAGTGGGGGATGTGGTGCGGACGGTGGTAGGGACCGGGAGTCGTTTGCTGGCGGTGAGTGGGGGGGTGGGGAGGGGTTCGAACCGGTAGTGACCCCCCCTCCGGTTTTCGAGGGGGGGGGGGGGTTCGAACCGGTAGTGACCCCCCCCGGTTTTCGAGGGGGAAGGGGGGGGGGGTTAGGGGAGGGGGGGGGGGGTTTTGCCGGGGGAGGGGGGGGGGGGGGTCCAGCAGGGGGGGGGATTTTCGGAGGGGGGGGGGAACCCCGGGTTCTGGAGGAAGAGGGGGGCAATTTTCCACAGTAAAGCGGCGGTGGATCACGCTCTCTCTCTCTCTCTCTCTCTCACATAAAGCCCATACTTAAATTCTATATTCTAGATGTAGAAATCGCCTCTTGCCGTCTCGAAGCGTCGGGAGCCTGGAAAACGATAACGCGACTAAAGTCATATCACTACGTGAGGGAAATCAGAATTTTTGGCTTCTTGGAACCCGTGCTTTTGGGGTTCCAGCGGGGCGTTGTGTGTGTGTGACTTTTGGGCTATATTTAGGCCGTCGGGGCGCCCTAACTAATGCCTCGCACGAAGTGAGGCAAACGAGCAAGCACAAACAGCTGTAAGCGCGTTCGCGGATCTTTGCTCAGTAGCACAATCTCGACCAGATGGAGAAGGCGTATCAGAGAGAGGATAAGAGAGAGAGAGGGAGAGATTAAGAAACAGCAAAAACAATGAGAGCAGGAACACGTGGTGGGGGAGGGACATCGGAAGCGAGGCTAACACCACGCCGTGGGAAGCGAAAAGGAAGGAGGACGAGGAGGAGGAGGAAGAGGAAAGCGCACCATATGCCCATGCCAAGAGGACGTGGAGGAGGAGGTGGAGGAGGAAACGAGACGACGAAGCCGACGAGGAGGGTATGCGTCACTGGGCAGAACATGGCAGAGAAGGGCGAGGGTAAGCAACGACAGTGGCTCCAGAGGCAACAGTGGGGCAAGAGGGAGAGGACCAGATGAAGAGCAACGAGGAGAATCTGAAGGAGCAAGGAGCAGATGGGAGCCGGGGGCATTTTATGAAGACGTGGTCTTCTGAGCAAGATGGGAACAGCGACACCCCGAACCGTTGGCACGCATGTAGTTCACATCGGCGAGACAGTGCCTCCTACGCCATGGGTTTACGACGGAGCCATACTATACAGCATGTGACGTGTAAAGGGTTCGGGCCCGCAGGTGATCGAAAGGGGAAGTGGGGTGCATTGCGTCTCGGCCTACGAGGGGGACAGCCGTCCCGCCATGTTCTGATCCGCTTGCTTGTCTCTTCCATCAGACTCCTCACCGCCATCCTCCCTCGGCTTTTCCTGCTTCTCTGTATACGTCTTCACCGATTACTGGGTCGTTTGATCCGCCAGACTTGTTAGTGGAGGCGAGCGCAGCTCCCCTGCACCCGGATATGATGCAGGTCTGGGGCGCCCGAGAAATAGGAGTGAATTATGAACGTGTTCCAGTTTCCCAGCACCATCAGAGAAGGATGTCAGAGCGAAGCGAATGTTCCGACGATGCCCAGTGGGCCCCGTCGGTGAAGTCTTCGACGGCCGAAGGAATTTGCAGACCATTGCAGCGTGCACCAGCTGGACGATCATGTCCAGCGGGCTCCAGGGGGAGAAAGGTTGTCATCGCGTAATTCGTCTCCACGTCGTTGCAGTTCAAGCTCCAGCGTATTCTCCGACAGCAGCTGTCTGCTGCGAACGTGGTCACCATTCTCCCAACGAGCCCCGATCGTGGCTGACGGGATCCCAATCCTGAACCAACAGGCGGTTGCGGAAAGCATGCTGGGAGACATGCGGCGCGAGGTTGGGCAAGACTCATTCAGTGGCGTCTTATTTGCACTTCTGCTCTTCTCTCCACCCTCCCGTCACTCACTCATCTCTCCCTCTCGTTTCTTTCTCCCCCTCATTTCTTCACGCACGTGACGTGAATGCTATTGTCCTTTCTCCCCTGACCACCTTCGTCTTGTAATCCGCACCTCGCACGCGACCTGCTCTTGTGGTATGACCCAAAGACGTTTGAGAAACGCTTGTGTTGCAGAATGTGTTGAGGATGTCTCGAGCAAAACGCTTGATTTGTCCTATAGATTGCTCGTCTCCTGGGGGCCAGAATTTAGAGGATGTCTCAGGCGAAATGTCTGTTTTCACGTGCCTAGGTCGCCCAGGGGGGTAGCTAACATGGTTGCCCCCAGATGGAACCACGTGTGTTCACGGGTCCAGGCCACCCAGGGGGGTATCTGAGAAAGTGGTCCCGAGTTGGAACCACGTGTCTTTTACGCGTCCGTGGGTTTACATGTCCAGGCCACCAAGGGGTCTCTAACGTACTTGCCCGGAGCTTGAACCACGTGTTGTTACGTGTGTGGGCTTTCCACGGGGGTGTATCTAACATGCGTGGGGGCTCACAAGAGCCAGACAAAATGAATCAATCGACAGCAGATGTGGAATAAGTTGACACGGTTTCTTCGGCAGGTGTTTTTCCAGATCTTGGGGTATCTAACATGGTGGTCCCGAGCTGGAACCTTGTGTTTTCACGTGTCGAGGCCACCAAGAGGGGCATCTAACATGGTGGCCCCGAGCTTGAACCATGTGTCTTTACGTGTCCAGGCCACCCAGGGGGGTCTCTAACATGGTTGCTTGGAGCTGGAACCACGAGTTTCTACGTGTGTGGGCCACCCACGGGAGGGCGGTATCTAGCATTTGTCAGTTTGGGAGCCCCCAGTGTGGGGGGGGGGCCACAAGGGCCAGACAAAATCAATAGATCTACACCAGATGCGCAATAACTTGACACATGTTTTTCAGCTGGTGATGTTCCAGACTTCCCCCTGGGGTATCGAACATGGTGTTCCCGAGTTGGAACCACGTGTTTTCGCGTATACAGGCCACCCGGAGAGGTATCTGACATGATGGCCCCGAGCTGGAACCTTGCGTGTTCACGTGTCCAGGCCACACAGACAGGTCTCTAACATGGTGGTCCCGAGCTGGAACCACGTGTTTGCACGTGTCCAGGCTACCCAGGGGGGGATGTATAACATGGTGTTCCTGAACTGGAACCACGTGTTTCTACATGCACAGGCCACTCAGGGGGTATCTTACATGGTGGTCCCGAGCTGGAACCACGTGTTTTTGCATGTCCAGGCCGCCCAGGGGTGGGTATCTAAGATACTTGCCTCGTGCCCCTCGCTGGAACCAAGCGTTGTTTTTACATGTCCAGATCACCGAAAGAGGTATGTTGACATGGTGGCCCCGAGCTCGAGCCATGTGTTTTCACGTGTCCGGGCCACCCAGAGAGGTATCTAACACTGTGGTCCCTAGCTGGAACCTTGTGTTTTCACATGTCCAGGCTGGCCAGAGGTCTCCGAGCTTGCGCCACGCACCCGGCTCCAACGGCTCGCGGAGCTCGTCCACATAAGCTGGTCGATGCGAGAGTGTGGCATTTTCTTGCGACTGCCAGTCATGAACACATGTGCATGCGCGCTGGCGCCTTTAATTCGGACAGAACGACGGGCAGTGGATACTCACCATGAGATTGTTGCACATGGTTCAGCCAATCTATGGCTAGATTGCTGACGCCTTGAGTGCAAGAGGACAGAAAAAGAGAGAAAGAGAGAGAGAGAAAGAGAGGGCGAAAGAGAGAGAGAGAGAGAGAGAAAACGAAAAGGAATAGTACATCTGTCAGACCACGTTCACTGAACACAAAGGTCTCCAACGCTGAATGCCGTAATACTTCGACGCTTCCGAGGCACGCGCCGCTCGCCCTTGCGGAACCATGCCCTGCAAAAAGACAATTCCGTTCGGGATGACCGTTGTTCAAGGTTGGGTATTCTTGTTGTTTGCTTACCTGAATCTCTACCCATCGCGGCTACGAGAAAAACATTCAACCCGCCCACGCCTCCCAGACGAATGCACAGCGCATGGGAGTTCTGGTCAAAATGAAGAGGAACCCCCCTACACACTCAGCCCGAATACTGCCGGCTCCCTCACTCTCCTCATCATCTCATCACCTTTCTCCTTCACCTTTCTCATGTTCTGCGTCGTCTTCCTCATCGTCCTCATCTTTATTCCCTCCTCCCTCCCTCCCTTCATCCATCCATCCTCTCCCTCCTTTTCCTCCTCTTCCTCCTTCTTCATTCATCCTTCCTCCCTCCTCTCTCGTCGCCCTGCTCCCTCCCCCCTCTCCCGCCTTCGTATCCCTTCCTTCCTCCCCCTCCCCTCCCCGCCCCCTACTCCCAGCAAGTGGAGAGCGCGGCGGTTGGGAGGACAGCAGCCAGCATGCATGTTGAGCCATAATGTGAGTGCACCCCTCAACCAAGCCCGAATTATAGACATCACCACGCGTTCTGCCGAAGGCACGTTGACTCAGAAGCCCACGATTTCGGATTGATCGCACGGCCCACATTTCGCATTATACGCGAGGCTTCAGGACAGATAGAATTCGAGTGTATGCGAAACGCGCACGATGTTTCAACTACGAATACACCTCGGATCTCTCCTCTGGCCACGTTTCAAGCCACGTTACTTTTTCATATCGCATCTCACGCGTGCATTGCATTTCGTACGTGGTATTGGTCAGACAGTGTTCGATGTGATGTTTGCGAAGGCGTTCCCCCACCCACCCACCCACCGCCCCCACCCACAGACACAAATCTACACACACACACGCACACACACATTCACAAGCAGCGCCGCGACGGAGGTCGCCCTGTGGCAGTGGGGTGGGCGGCCCATTCCGCAGAGGATCCAAGCCTCGTCATCAGTTTCTTCCTCCTCGTCGTCCTCCTGTTCCTAATTTTATTTGCTCGTTTTCATCCTCCCCCTCCTCCTCCGCCTCACTCATCCTCCCTTTCCCTTCTCCGCCTCGTCCTCTCTCCTTCTCCTCGCCCTCGCCCTCTTGTTTCCTTCCCATTCCCCCTTTCTTGGGCAGGCCGCTGAGCGGGCGAACCGCTCGTGGCGTCAGACCATTCCCCCACTTCTCCTCCGCCCTGCGCCCCCCGGCTCCTTCCCTCCACCTCCCACTTCCCCATCCTCTCTCTCCCACTCCTCAAACCTGCTCTGCGACCTGGGAGCTCCCGGGCCTCTGCAACAGTTTGCCTGTTTCGTTCGAGGCGCTGATTGATCGCGGGCGCCGCGTATCTGGCCAGATGTCGCCCGACCTCCTCGCGCGCGTCTTGGTTCCGCCTGGCCCGATCGCCTTGTATGCAGTAGGCAATGCGTCAACATTTGCACATGCCATCTGGGGATGAGGGTCCGACTCGACACCCAACTCGGCGAACAGACGCGGGTCAGGTATAAGCGGAGGGGGTGGGCAGGAGGGGTAGGGCGTATTTGGCTTGCCCCTCCACAGTCACACATTATGAATACTACGCTCCTCTATCCCCTGACTCCGTCAAGAAGATAGCCCGTCCTCTCCGCTTATTGTGTTACGCATGATTTCACATAGTTTCTTTGGTATGGAATCCGATAGTTCTCGGTGTTTCGAGTTGGCGTTCCCGCTGTAGCGTGGGCCGCATTTTCGGATCGACGTTCTGCTGTGGTCGTTCACAACGGCGCTCTCGCCACAGCGCGGGACACTTTCTCTGGATCCGAATCGTGTTTCATTGTCGTCGCCCCCCCCTACTTCCCCTCATCCGCCTTCCCCTGGTCTTCCTGCTCCTCCCGCTCCTTCTACTCTAGTTCCTGCGTGCTGCTGTTCGCCCTCATTCTCACCCTTCCTCATCCTCACCCTCATCCTCATCTTCTTTCTCGTGCTCATCATCCTACTCACCCGCCACCTCCACCTCCTCCTCCTCCTCCTCTTCCTCCTCCTCCTCCTCCTCCTATGTACGCTATGACACGCGTCCGCGGATAGAGAGAAAGTCAACGCAATAGGAAGGGATGGGGGGAGTGATAGGATATCAGATGTGGCGCGATATCACCCAGCTTGACCAGTCCCCCCCCCTCGCCCCTCCCCCAATTTCCACTGGACCTGCCCCACATTGTTCTGCCCCCTCGGTCGGCCGCGGGCCTCCTTGAGCTCTGGACCTCTCGACCCCGTCTCCAACACGGGGCCTAAGATGGTCCCGAGATCCAAACGAGCCCCTCGAGGCCAAACCTCGGAGCAGGTAGCGTCTGCAGTGACCGTTGATGGTGCCTGGGCTTGAAAACGAATTCCGCCGGCAATCTGTGCAATTTGGAGGGCAACGGCATCCTACGAGGGCGCTCGACTGTTTCAAAGTTTACCCATAATGCTTGGAAACGTGACCAAAGAGTTATCAAGCGCAGCACTGCAACAGCTATGTTTGGCGGGCTCCGCCCGAATATGCATAACCCTCACTTTATTGCTGTATCGGCCGCTGGCGCGTGCTGCCCAGAGCCTAGACAGTCTCAGTAAAAGAAGGACGTGGTGGAAACATTGTCCATTTGATTTGGCGCGCATTTCTGTCGTTCTTTCAATCTGCTGGGGGCGGTACGCCTGAGCTTTCTTCATTTGGAATGATCAGGACTTGGTGGTCATGGGCAGCGACGGGGTTTTCGACAATCTCTTCCCCGATGAGGCGCGGTGGCAGACGGGCACCGATTGAGGGAGAGTGGCCGCCCTGACAGTATGGGGGTGACCGAACGACAGGCCGAGAAGGAGCGTGGAGATCGGCACGCGGCGTGGCCAAAGAAGGGCAGGGAGGATCTAGAGTGGGGTCGGGAGGAGGAGGAGGAGGAGGAGGAGGAGGACCAGCAGCAAATACCAGCCAATAGTTGAGTCTTCATGAAAACATGTATTACTATTTTGGCTTAAGCCGCGAGTGCCCAGGCTCCCCCGCGAGAAGTGGGGCCTGGGGCGGCGTCCCCGCGCGGTGCCCGCGCCAGGGCTCTGGAGTCGCCAGGTATGCAGCTGCACTGATCCTGACCAATCCTGAGCCCCTAGAGTGCCCCAAGTGGCGCCCAGGAAACACCCAAGACGCCCCAATAGGCCCTGAAAACTACCAAGAGGCCCCCAAGACATCCCAAGAGAACTCCGAGAAGCCCCCGAAAAGGCCCCGAAGAGTCGGCCCCGAAGAGTCACCAGGAGGCTTCCAGGAAGACTCCAAGAGGCATCCAAGAAGCCTCTGGCCCACGGAGGCTCCCCGAGCTCTCCACATGATGCCGCGCTCCCCCATGAGGGCAGCTTCCCTGGGCATCGTTCCTGGGATGCTTTTTGATCGCGACCGCGAGCGGGCACCCGCGCGGCGTCGGAAAGGTCGTGCTACGAGCGGGGGCCGGTGGTCACAGCGCAACTGTCGCTGGCCAGACGCGGGAAACATGTGCAAGGCCAGTACGCAGAGGCAGCGCGAGAGCGGCGAAAACGAGGCGAAGCAGGAGAGGGCGACACGAGCGAAGAAGACAAGAAAGAAAGCAAGAGAGAGCGCGAAGAGAAGAAAAGAAAACGAAGAGAACGACGGCAAGAGAGGGCCGAGGGAGCGGGAAGAAGAAAGAAAAAGCCGCAGCTCAGAAGAGGAACAAGTAGGGGAGCACCCTGATCTTGCGGTACTCCATGTACTTGCCGTAGGTAGGCGACAGGTGACGTCAAAACCAATCCAGTCATCGAATGCAGATGCCTCGTAATGACCGGGTGACTGCAGAGCCCAGGAGTGGACGACGGCGGCACGAGCAAGTGGAAGCACGACAGCGCCCTCACTGAGAACCGAGTAGCAGTACCCACGGCCGTCTCCAGTGCCAGCGCGAAGCCGACCGGGTGAGGGGGACCTACCGCCCCGCGTGCCCCGGGGGGAGCACAGGGTCCGGAGGCGCCCGGCAGAGAAAGGTAGTTGACAGCCGCCGGGAGCTCGATTAGCTTCAGGGAGGCGGATGACAGCCGCAGGAGGGTGGGTGCCCGCGCCAGTATCTCCAGTGACCAGCCCACGGCCCTATGGGTGCAGCTAACAGCCGCGGTTGCTGAAGGGGGAATGTTTCGCCTGAGACATATCGGTGCCCAGCGGGGGTGCAGCTAATAGCCGCAGAATGGTGGGAAAAGGTTTCACCTGAGACATCCAGAAGCCCAGCCGGAGTGCAGCAGACAGCCGCGGATGGAGGGGGGAGGGAGGTCCTTCGCCTGAGACATGCTGGTCCTCTTGTAGGGTGCAGCTAACAGCCGCAGGATGGGCGGAACTAGTTTCGCCTGAGACGTGCAGCTGCTCTGCAGGGGCGTGGGTAACAGGCGCGGACAGGGAGGTACGAGTCGCAACTGCATGGTCAGTTGGGGTGCAGCTACCGGCCGCAGGATGCTGGGTAATGGCTGCGCCTGAGACGTGTCGAGGCACTGCTGGGGTGCAGCTAACAGCCGCAGAGTGATAAGAAATGGTTTCACCTGAGACATCCCGAAGCTCGGCCGGAGAGCATCAGGCAGCCGCAGAGGTTTTGTGCGAAGCGGAGCGTTAAGATTTGGTCTTGTCGTGGCTGTCGTAGCCTGGTGCAGGGACTGAAGCGACTACGGATTTGGCTTCGCATTCGTCGGAAGCGTGGTTCGTCGTTCCGTCGTGCCTGGTGCCGTGTCGATGAAAGCGAAATTCCTTGGATGGCCGAGGTCAGGATGGTGGGGACCCAGCAGTGTGCTGGACGTGCCATGCGGGCTACATGCCCAAGAAGCCACACGGCGGCGCCCAGCAGCACCCCAGCGACAACCGAACGGCCGTAAGAGCCTTGTTGATTTTTCTCGGGGATGTTGGCAGTCCTGCAGGTTCCCTCGGGACGACGCTAAGCATACGCCTGTACACCAATCCCGGCCTGCCAGGGCAAAAAGGAGGCCTCTGGAAATTGCCGCGCGTGCGCTGCCGCTTTGCCTCCCGTTGCCGCCTCGTAGACCAATCCGTGCGTTGCATTGTTGCCGCCCGTGCGCCAAGCATACACCTACTCACCAATCCGTTGCCGCCCGTTGCTGCTTCGTTCCCGCCTCGTGCACTAGGTGGGTCCGGCGAGGTTTCGCCGCGTTGCCGCCCGTTGCCGCCTCGTTGCCGCCTCTAGCTGGCACCGCGAAACAAATCAAAAGGAATGATAGGACCCACCCCCTGCCGAGCCCGCACTTGTCGGGACGCCATGGGTCACTTCAATTTACACATCATTATGCTTCATCTTCTTTTTTCTCATGGATTCATACCGTCTCAGCCCGTCCCGCTATTGACCCTCCCCCTCATGCACGCACACTCGTTTATATCATAGACCATTGTTCAATCGCCCTTTGCAGAAAATACGCACAAAGCCCACGCGCGCGCACATACCAAACACATCAGTTCAGCCAGCGCTTCAACATAAGAAACATCAACAACCCTTACGTGTCGTATCACAAGTCTTGCAGATGTTCTGCTCGCGCGCATTTGCCGAAATCTGATGAAAACCATGTGAGTGTAGCAATCCCGTCCATAACCCACATTTGTACATCGAGGACGCCGGCGGCGCATCACCGGCCGCTCCCTGGGAGTTTACCGAAGTGGCGCGCAGCATCGAAAGTCGTGACGCGTGGGTTTTGGGTCGGAGTCCTCATGGACGCTTCTTAGGGTCTCGCGAGAGGGCTCTCGGGGGCCTCTGCGGGGGAGTTTCGGGGCCTCGTGGGGGCGTCCCAGGGGCTTCTTGGAGACCTCTTGGGGCCCTCTTTGGGCCTCTTGGGGCTCTCTTGGGGCCTCTTGGGGGCCTCCAGGGGGCATCTTAGGGCCTCCTGGGGGCCTCTTGAGCCGAAAGCTCGAAATGTTCATTCGGGTTCCCCTTCTGGGCCTCCTCTTGGGGCCATCCTGGGGCCCCTCTTGGGCCGTCCCGGGGGCCACATTTGTACATCTAAAGGCTGCCGCCTCTGCCGCCGACCCCTATCGAGCGACTGGTAGGAATCGGAGGGGTGGGCGGTGGCTCATGTTTTTTGCATCTTCTTGCCTTCCTGGAGGCCCTCTTGGGGGCCTCTTGGGCCGTCTTGGGCCAGCTTCGAGCCAACTTCGGCCATCTTGGTGGGTTCCTGGCACATTTGACGCCGTCGGGAGCCGTCTTGGGGGCCTTTTTGGACCGACTTGGGGCCCTCTTGGGGCGCTTCGGGGCCGTCTTGGAGGCCATCGTGGGCGTCTTGGAGGCCATCTTGGGCGTGTTGGAGGCCTCTTGGGCCGTCTTGGGGCCCTCTTGGGGCCGTCTTGGAGGCCACTTGGGCCGTCATGGGGCCCTCTTGGGGGCCTCTTGGGGGCCTCTTGGGCGATCTTGGGGGCCTCTTGGGCCGTCTTGAGCCGTCGGAATGCCGAGAAGAAGCACATGCCAAAATCCTTCAAAAACCTGCGGAAAATCAATGATTTCGGTCTCTTCGGGCCCTCCTGGAGGACCTTTTGGAGACCTCTTGGGCCGTCTGGGAGGCCTCTGGGGAGCCTCTTGGGCCGTCTTGGACTCTCTTGGGCCGTCTTGGAGGCCGTCTTGGACCATCTTGGGCGGACTTGGAGGCCATCTTGGGCCATCTTCGCGATTTTTTGAGGACGTCCCGAGCGAAACGGCCGTTTCAGGCATTGACTGACGCAGTTTCCGGGTGGCCGGCGGGACGTGCCGGAGCCCACTGGTCAGTTCTTGTGGAAAAAGAACCAAGACCAAAACCCTTCTCGACGGTTCAGCACGCCAGGCACCCCTGCGATGAATCGACAGGGGGCGGCGGATCCTAGTGGCCTTCGGTCCATCCCGCCACCGTGCCTGGATTTTGGATCTGAGGCCTCTTGTATGTGTTGGGGTGTCGTGGGGAGCCTCTCGGGGGCCTCTTGGAGGCGGTTTGGGCGCCTCGGGGGCCTCTTGGGGCTCGTGGGGCATCTTTTGGGTTTCCTGGAGGCCTCTTGGGTGCGTCTTGGGCGCATCTTGGGGTCTCTTGAGGCCTCTTGACGGCCTCTTGGGGCTTCCTGGGGGCTACTCGGGGCCTCGGGAGCGCGAATGTGGTGTAGTTGCAGGAGATCGTGGCTTTCGGGGCGCGCATGCTGTGTAATTTACAAGGGATCGTAGCCTCGGGGGCGCGACTGTGGAGTAATTTACTTGGGATGATGACCCCGCAGGCGAGAATGTGGAGTAATTTATTGGGGATCGTGGCTTCAGAAGCGCGACTACGTCGTATTGTACGAGGGATCGTTGCTGCGGGGACGCGACTACAGCGTAATTTACACGGGATCTTGGTCTCGGGGGCGCGAATACAGTGTAATTTACGAAGGATCATTGCGCCAGGAGAATGAATTTCATGTATTTTCACGTGTTCCAGTGCCCCCAGAAATTCAGACAACGCGATTCGGGGACGCTAACCGAACTGGTTTTCGGCTCCCCCCTCGCGCGAACAGCAACAATTTACAGTAGGAAGCAGAAAGCACTTCTGTAACATTGGAAACTGGAAACTGGAACTGGCGCAGGGAGCAGCAAACCTAATCCTCGCAGCCTGATGGCCCCGCAAGGGGGCCTGCGGATATTGTCGGGGTAGCCCAGACCGTTGAGACCGCTATTCGTTCTGATTGCAGTATTGTCGGCTGTCTTAACTGAGCTTTGACGGAGTGGCACGAGAGCGTGCCCAACCGCCGAGATTCGAGTTCACACCGTCTGAGTTGAGATCGGGTCTTCTCCCTGTAGCCTGAAGCAGAGGGCCATCCGCTGCCACAGGGAGGGTGCGAGCCGCCCCTGCCGGCGCCAGGTAAGGGACATCTGCAACAGCATCCTCCCTCCTGGACTGTCGGCCCCTCGGATCCCGAGCGGCGCCTGCGGGGACTGTCCACCACCGTCGTGCCACGGCAAGAGGGAGGGGCATACGTGTCTGAGCTCGCCTTTGGCGGATGCGCCCGCCACGGAGTGCATGTGATGCAGTGTGAGCGTCGTGGCGCCAGCACAGTCAGGTATGAGATCACTCTTTCCAGGAAGTCGATTTCGCTGTCGATTCGTTTCGTGCGTGGCGCACGCGCGGGCGAGGCGAAGCTGCGAGGGCGAGCGGCATGCAATGAACCTTCTGTAGATAGGTCTGGTTCGGACACTTCGCTCTGTGGTCGTGGTGGCGTGTCTGCTGGTGGCTGGGGGATGTCCTGTGTCTGTACCGTGATTTTTTCGTAGTAGTTGGGGGGGTCCCGTGGTTGGGCGATTGAGCATTGTCGTGTGGTTGTCCCGTGGTGATTCCGTAGTAGTCGGCGACAGATAGACAGATGGATGGGGTTGTCCCGTAGTTGTCTTATGGATGTTGTTTCGTAGTTGCCCCGTCATGTTCGAGTTGCTGGAGACGTTGGCACTTTGGAGATCAGTTAAGGAGGGTTGGCAGGATTGGCAGATACGTTGGCTTGCGAGTGTTATGCGCCTATGTGTAACACGTATCTGCCTACCAAGCAACATTATCTGGTCAGTTGCTCACCTGTCGTGTTGCTTGCTTATATGCCAGTGTCTCCCTCTGCGCAGATACCAGCACACACACGCATTCACATGCATATGCATGTGTAGTTGCAAGCATGGATGCGTATCTCTGCAGCTGTACAACAAGTACATGTTTACACAGACGCATATCTTTCTACCATGCGGTTCACAGGTAGCCGGGGTTGATGGGAAGTAGGAGGGAGCATGAGGAGGAGGCGGCGGGGGAGGGGGGATGAGCTTGGAAGCAGGCGGGAGCAGGACAAGGAGCCGCAGCATCAGTGACAGGTGGCGGGATGAGGAGGAGGAGGAGGAGGAGGAGGCGCGCCAGGAACGCTGGTGCCGACGCCCGAGGACAAGATGAGGCGCTTGCAGCCTGCCTCGGATGGGGCAGCGACAAGCGCTGGGGCTCGCGGTGAAGCCATGTCTCATCGCCCGAACGCACAAGGGCAGGGAACAGCAGCAAGAGGAGGAGGAGCAGGAAGAGTACCAGTAGCATCGAGGAGGGGGGTGCAGGATGCCGACGAGGATGAGCGACAGCAGGACCAGCACCTGAAAGAGTAGGAGGATGAGGAATCGCAGGAACAAGAGCAGGTGTAATGGAGCAGGAGGAGGAGGCGGAGGAGGAAAACGTTTGAGATCGACTCTCCTGCAGTCCAACGGTTGCTGCAGACTGCTGGCCAGCCAGCCTGCCCGGAATTCAACATGAAACGCACAACTGAACACAAACAGAAGCATAACAGTTCAAATTTAACAACATGTGCCGATTTCGGCGGCGACCCCAGGCTGTCTAGAACTAGGATGGAGCCCCCGCTTCAATTTCGACCACGGAGCGGTGTGCGAGGCCATTTCGGGTGGCTTGCACTTCTTGCCGTGGTTGCCCCCCCCCCCCCCCCGACGTGAGGCAACCACATCTCTGGCAAATACATATGAGATAGCATCCGGGCAATCGAGCACGACCTAGCGATAGCCGACGGCACGGAGAGTTGCGGGCTGGACGCGCAAGATAGCAGAACACCACCCTCCTTGCGGCTGGGCCGATGGGAGCCCCTTCTGCCTCCGAGGAAACTCTGAGCATTGCCAGTAGTGCCCCACATAGTTCCGCTCGTGTGGGGTGCGCTTCTCCTGTCGCACAGACTTCTGAGCGTTGCTTAAGAAAACATCGGCTCCAATGCCCAGCTTAGGCCAGTAGGACAAACGCTTGGCCCCAAGACGACCCACAGCCCAAGAGACGTCCAATTGACGACCAACATCCTCAAGCTCGAGCGGGGAAGATAAAGGATGCAAGGCCGCCGCCGCCGCCTTAGATAAGCGGTCAGCCCCGCCATTCCCTTGCTGAAGATACCTGTCCCGCTTGACCGTGGCGAGTTCCACGCACTGGTGGGCCGTGTATTGACCTTAGAAGCCTTGGCGTTCCACCAGTGCTCGCGGACAAGCTCAGCAATGCCAGAATATATGCGCGTTGTCGGAACTGGTTCGACCCATGGCATGGAGGCAAAATCCTCAACCCGTGCAATCCGAAAAATGTCTTGCATGGGCCAGTCGTCCATTGAATCGAATCGACGGCGCTTGAAACTCAGCCGCCTGAGGCTTCTGCGGGCAAGGGCCCCATACTGGGCCTCGCACGCGGACGGTCTCTCTCCCTGTATGCCGACACCAGGGTGAACGCCCAGGCAGCTTTGCTGAGTTCTGTAACTATGCAACGGGTAGACCAACCATCCACGAACAGGTCACCCTCGAACATTGAGTACAAATCCCGAGGCACTCCATCCACCCACTCGGTCTGAATACCCCCCCCCCTCCTTGAGGGGTGGCGGGAAAGAGTCGGGTGTGGGACAACTACGAAAACAACAAGGATGTTATATGTTATCTGCACATTCTGCACGGTGTTTTTTCTTCCTTAGTCCTACCACTTCAGGGAATTGTTTTTTCACAGTCGATGCTCGACGCCGAAGCGTGTCCACACATTGCCCAAGCAGAAACTAAGGAGGGGAGCTCGTAATCTGAGTCGGCAGTAAAGATCTTCGAAAGAAGGCATGGTCCGCGAAATCCTCTCACACGATACGCACAACGCCGTGACAGGCCCTGAGACACTCCGCCAGAGGGAAGCCTCCCCCGAACATCCGGCGTTCCAAGCATCACGGAGTTGAGTGAGAGGCAGCGAATGCGAGTACGAATGACGTTGAGCAGTCCATATCCCCGTCGACCCTCGCACAATGGAAGACGCAGAGGCAAGCCAGCTCGGCTCATCGTAAGCCAGCAAAGTACAGTCAGAGATCGGTCCTTCGCCGACGGCTGTAGGACGCTCGCAGCCTGTCTCGGAAACCAGGTCAGAATTACCAACCCCGTGGACCTCGGACCCGAACAGCTCGGACGCCAAAGCCCCAGAGGCAAAAACGCTCATCGCAACATGGCCCTCGACCGTGGACCTCAATCGGGCCTTTCGCCTGTGGGACCCTCCACTTCTGCTTGGCGATGCGTCATGTGGCGCGCCTGCAGAAGTTCCTCTCGTTCGGTAAGAACCAGTCGACGGGAGCTGCTCCGATGGGAGCCGCCTCTCGTCGCAGCCCACAGGCACTCTGAGAGGCGTTTCCCGCCGAATTCTCAGCAAGGCCGAGGGCGACGACACCGCTTTGGCCACCGACGCATCCTCGGCACGGAAATGCCGCGCCAGGCCATATTCTGTCATTTCTGGTTTCGAATCCGGAGAGCGTGGGGAGGGCCCGCGTGCCTCTCCCACCCGCCGATCCACTGCACGTCCTCTGGTATGTCAGTTTGGCGGTTGCAATGATAGGCAGTCGTGCACACCACTTGGCCGGTTTGACATCCAAATGCCAGCTACAGTTCATTGTGCGAGGGGTTTTCCGATCTTTCCACTACCGCTCCATGCTCGATCGTGAGCCCGCCAAGACCACGTTTGCTGCGCCAGACCTTAGACAGCCGAACTCGTTAGTTTTTCAGAGGACAGGTCGCCCCAATTTGGTTCCCATTCACGCACTCGTACGCGGGGCATGATTTTCATCGCGCCTGTTCCTCGCTGCCCGAGCCAAGCCCGTCCTTCGTGGCTCAGCACGGCGTGGCCCCGAGCTGGGCCGTCCTTCAGTGCAGTTCTGCGGCGCGGCCTCGGCCTCCGACGCATGGGCCTCCGAGAGCGAGGCTTATCTTGTGACCCGTCGAACGCTGGCGCTTGACGGGCGACCGCGGCCGAGATCCCGCGGGCAGGCGCTTGGGAGCCGCGTGAAGCCCGCCCGCTTCCTCTCCCCTCCTCCCGTCGCCGACCCGGGCTTGGGAGCTGCCTGGAGCCGACCTGCTCCGCGTGCTACCCGGATTTTGTGCGGCCGACGGCCCCAGCTGCGCGCGTTCGTCTCGCCGCGCAATCGGCCCCGTGCGCCCGCGCTCACACCGCACCTCGGCCAGCGGCGGCCGTGCGGGAGCCAACGGAGACGGGCGGACCATCTGCAGCGCCAATTGGGTGAGCCAAGACCGTGCCACGAACCCGGGCCAGCCGCGAAGAGCAGCTCCCAGACTGCGGAATCAGGATGTCAGTTTTTCCTATCGGTTGTGTTGGATGGGTTCTCCCTCGAGCTGGTGTCTGCGGGGCGGTCGGGGTTCCGTGGTTCAGCACGTTTGTCAGTAGAGTCCCATGAAAATGCGATCGTCCTCCTCATCATCGTCACCATCCGCGTCATGATGGCGATGAGCAGGAAGAAGAGGATATGCGAAATATAACGACGAGGAGGTGTAGGGCGCGAAAGAAGAGGCGGAGGTGAAGAAGCAGGAGCAAAGTGGACGGGTGCCAGAAAGAGAGATTGGGGTTGGTAAGCAATTGAGGGAGACGACAGATCAGGACTGATAAAGCGGGAGATCCGCGCACGTGGAGACTCTACCTCGTTTTTCTCCTTTCGCCCGTCACCCTACCGTGGAGTAGCCTCTTTCACTCCACGGTCGAGTGGCAGCTGACAGATGGGGATTAGAGGGGTATGTTGTCGCAGAGGTTGGGCCGCACACGAGCGAGGAGCGACACGACGGACGAATTGCAAATCCTGCATGATTGCGAAGGCCTTACGGCCGGTGCCGCCGACCCTGCAGGGGGACGACGACGACAACAGCGGCGGCGGCGACGACGACGACGCTGACGTGGGCCAGAGGGATGCTTCTTGGGGTCTCTTCGGAAGGCTCTCGGGGGCCTCTAGGGAGGCATGCTGGGGCCTCTTGGTGGCCTCTTGGGAGCCTCTTGGGGCTTCTTCGGGCTTCGGGGGGACCTCTTGTGGGCCTCTCGAGGCCTTTTGGGAACCTCTTGGGACCTCCTGGAAGCCTCTCGGGTCCGAGGGCTCGAAATGTCCGTCCCGATCCCTCGTCTGGGGGGCACGCTCTTTGAGCCGTCTTCAGGGCCTCATGGGTCATCTTGGAGGCGTTGTGGGGAGTCTTGGGGTCTTCTTGGGCTGTGTGGGGGTCTTCTTGGAGCCCTCTTGGGCCGTCTTGGGGCGATCTTGGAGGCCTCTTGGGCCGTCTTGGAGCAGCGGGGAGGGGAAAAGGCGAGAACGCCCAAAGTCCAACGAAAAGCAAAGGGAAGTCAATGAATTGTGCCTCGTGAGGCCCTTCTCGGAAGTGCTCTTGGAGGCTTCTTGGGACGTCTTGGTGGCCTCCTGGGCAGTCTGGAGGGCGTGAAGGCGTTTTGGACCGATAGTTTGGCGATTGGGGGCCCTCTTGGACCTTCTCAGGGGCCTCATGGGGCACTCTTGGCCTTTCTTAGCACTTTCGGAGGCCCTGGGACCACCCCCCTGGACCCCCTCCTACCCCCCCCAGCACCACCACCCAGGACCCTCCCCCCGACGGGGCAGGGATCAAAAGGAAGGGGCTTCCCTTCGACTCGATTACGACATTGCTCGATTGTTCCGTCGCTGACAGGTTTGAGGAAGAGGGTGCAGGGAAAGGGGACGACGGAGACGACGACTGGCGCAGACGACGACTCGAACAGACGCCCTTTGCACACGCCCAACAGGGTCGGCAGATGTTGTGATAACTGGTCGACGGATTGTTGATATCAACGTCGTGACTGGGCAAGAGGATCTCATGAGGGACCCAAGATCGCAGTATCTCATGCATAAAGATTGGCATCGCAATTAGAAGTGCCGACGAAGCGCACGATCGGGGGGGCCTTTCTGCTCTCCGATGCTGCAGTCCTCGATTCTCGCTGCGAGTCGACGCTTCCCGCAGACGCCAAGGCGGCCACGCAAGCATGCTGGAAACAGAACGACAGAATCGGGTTACATCCCGATCCGGCTTTTCTTGCATGGAGGGGTCCCCTCGCAAGCGCATATCAGGCCGCGTGCTGGAGCAGGGGTCGCCTCCACTGTCTACGGGGTAGTGCGGCCATGTCCGGGGCTTGGGATCGCATTCGATTGGCAGGGGGCCACCCGCAGCGAAGCTCCTCGGTCGCAAAGCGGCGCCATGGAGGCGACACCACCAGAAGCCCACAAGTACTGGAAATGAGCTACAGGACCCAATGCGGGTAGTGGACCGACTGCGCGGAAGCGCAGGCGTTGTCGTCGTCGCTCGGACGCCCGGGCGTCCCCCGCTTCGGACATGTCCTCCCGGCCGCGACCAGGGAGCTCGCCGAGACGATCGTTCTGGCAGCGCACGAGAAGACCTACCTTGGGCCCGATGGCAGGACCCCATGGGCGTAGATAGCTCGAGCCTGGACCCAGACCGTCATATGGTGGACTGTTTGTTGAATCTTCACGGTTTTTATCTTCCTTTTCGGCATGCGGAGTCATGTGTCGGGACCTTGAAGAAGCGACCCTGGATGAAAACCTACCCTTCGAAAGAGATAGGGACCCCCGGGACCCGCAGGTTTGAAACAAACCGAAGCCATTATTCCGACGCTGGGACCCCACATGAGGATTTCCGAGGCTAATCTGGAAGTGAATTGCACCGTCGTCCTCATGAGTGCAGAGGCTCTCTTCCCGTCTCCTCGTCGCCCTTCTCCTTTCCGCCCTTGCGGAGGCCATCTTCACGCCCCTTGCTTGGTTTCCTCCTAGTCTTCCTGCCTCTTCTCTCCCATACACGTCCTTTCCCGCCCCATTTTGAAAGGGCGCGCAAGTCGACTTTCCTTGGCGCACGGCCAGCACGGGCGCGTTCTCCGATGGCCAGATCGCGAAACCGCTGGGGTAACCCAGTGAGCCAGGCCGTTGGGACAACCCCACGAGCCGCTGGGGCGCGGGAGCATGCCGTTGGGACAGCCTCGCAGGTCTAGAGCTAGTCGCGGCCGCGCTCAGGCGGGAGGCGGCGCGAAGCCCAGCTCTGCCACGAGCTGCTCCGTCTCGGGCTGTCGCTCCCCGCTCCGTAGTCGCACTCCCCGAACACCTTCCGTAGGGAAGCCGGCGGCCCGCGTTCCAGGAACTCCTCGCGTGGGCGGCCGCAGGATCAGTATGTTCCGCATGCATTTCTTCGCCACACACTCACAAACGGGACTCACGCTCGAAATCTCCCCTAATTTCAAGCTTCAAGAGGCCAAACATGACGACAGTTCGCTCGGATCGGTAACGTGAGTTGCGGGCCCCATGAAGATGGGGCTCCCGCTTGAAGTTTTCTCGCAATTCACTCACAGACGACGCTCCCGGCATGGACTTTCCCAGCGGTCAAGACGTTCACGCTTCAAGAGGCCAAAAGTGACAAGAGCTGTAGGGTTTCCGACGACCCGCTCGGATTAGTAATGTGAGCTGCGGGCCCCGTGGAGGGGGGGCTTCCGCGTGAGATCCTTTTTGCAACTTATTCACAGGCGGGGCTCTCCCGCTCGCGATGTCCGCCCTATTCAGGACTGAAGAACCCAAGCGTGACCACAATTACAAGGCTCAGGCGGGCCATTCGGATTAGTAAGATGAAATGCGGGCCCCATACAGAGGGGGGTCCCGCATGAGACTTCCCCGTAAGTCACTCACAGGTGAGGCTCCCGATCCAGACACCCGGTACATTCAGGATTGAAGAGCCCAACGCTGACGACAGGTGTAAGGTTCCGACGGCCCGTTCGGATTAGTAACATGAGTTGCGGCCCCCTACACCGGGGTGAATATTTCGTTTGTGACATGTTTGACAGACTGAGGGAGGGTTCTTGGTTGGGGCGCAGGTCGCCTTATGTGCCTGCTCAAACGAGGGCCTGCTCGTCTTGTCGGCAATATCCGCTGGAACGGGCATGCGCGCGTTGGGCGCGCGGGCGCGTGCGTGGACACGTGCTTCAGATATGTTGACACGCGCTCAAACAAATCACGACCAAGAGTTATTCATCTGATTGCAGGTAGGAAGCTCCTGCCTGAGAACGAATTGCAGCTTACTCGCGAACGAGGTTCTCGCCTGAGGTTTCCGAATATGAGTGCGTGCGAGGGCAATGATAATGTGGTGTGAGTGTGATGATGACAGTGACGAGGGAGTGATTGCCATGGCGAGATTGTGATCGGGACGATGGTGCGAATGATGATGGTGATGGCGATTGTGGTATTGCCATGACGTTAGCGATGATGAAGGGGAGGAGGAGGCCGACCAGGACGATGATGAGGACGAGGATGAGGATGAGGATGCTGCTGACGATGATGGTGAACCTGATGATGTGTGTGTTCCACTGACTCCCATGATTGAGCGGGTGAATGTGTGTGCAAATGTGCGCGACGATGGTGGTGATGATGATTGATGATGGCTGTGTGATGATGGTGTCGGTAGTGTTGATGTGGATGTGAGATTCCTGCGCGGGTCGTGTGTGCGTGCAGAGAAAACAATCCCACTTTGGATGCGGGGAAATACTCATCGGAGGTTCGGGGAGCGGCACCGTTGGGGGTTATCGCACCAAGGGGGGGATGGGTTGGAAAAACGGTGGGTCGGGGCCGTTGGTAGTCGGAAGCCTTTGGTGTTTCCCACAGCTTGCAGTAATTATAGTCCCAGATCATTTGGCGTTTCCCAGACAATCCCTTGTAACACAGAATGTGTGTAGATGCGGAAGAAAACAACATTTGTTCTGATACTCCAATATGTTCGCCCAGGTCCTCGACTTTTGCACGAGCTGAAGAACGTTTGAAAGCGCATCGGGCCTGGGGCATCTGATATGTTCGAACCCCAATGCCTTTCTCCGAAGTCTTGGGCCAATGGGCTCCAGTGCGGGGGGATTGCACGAACGCGAATGTACCATACAGCCGTCTCTGCCCCAGATTAGCGACAACATATTCCGGGATGAGAAACATCTTGTGTCTCGAAAGCGAGGCCTCAGGGGTTGGAAGAAAAAGCAGTTTGAATCGGGCGATGGGGGGAAACACGCTATGCACGTCAGGGATCATACGGGGGGATGATATTTGATCCGTGAACGGATCAGGCCCAAGCATTCGTAGCGAGGCCACGATGTTTTTGTTGATGCGTGGGTCAGTTATTATGGCGACTGGTGCAAAGGGCCCGACAAGGCCTCCAAGACGGGCCGAGATGCCCTCCGAGACGTTCAAGATCTGGCGGCGAGCGAGGGGGGGAAGTGAGAAGTGGAATGCCTTCTCAGAAGGCGGTGGGGCTTTTCAGAAAAACGTTCCAAGAGGTATACAACGTGGCCGGCCCCCACAAAGCGCGCCAACAGTCACGAAACACATGGTCTTCAGATGGTTCCCCACGTGTTTTTTCAGGTCGTCACCGCACGCTGTTTCCGAGCGCGTTTAATAATCCTACAAGCGTCTAACACGGCCCCAAGCGGCCCAGCAAACTCCACACACAACTCCAAAACGCCCTGGGCATCTTGCAGCGCGTCCGCGAAAACCGCAAAAATGAACCCAATGACGGTCCTCAGGGCCTTCACCTCGGCCACAAGTGTCGTTCAGGCCACCTTGGCGGGCCAAGTTGCCCTGGCGGGCCAACTTAGCCCGACAGGGCGTCAATATTCAGCAAGCTTGCGCCATTCCACTGGCCCCCAGAAGAGGAATTGTGCGGCTCCCGAGTTCGTGTGCGTCGTGTGCCGCGTCCCGTGGCGTTGCCTGCATGTTTTTTTTCCCGTTCCCAGGCTCTGCCTAGAAGAATTCTTACTCTATTAACTTACAGGAGCTGGGCAGTGGAAACCGCCCCGGGCGATTCCCCCATTCCCCTGGGAGCCAAGCAAAAGCAACAGCAAAAGTAAAAGCAAACGCGCGGTTCCCCCTGTTGCGTTCCCTGGGTGCCAAGCAAAAGCAACAGCAAAGGCAAAAGTGAAGGCAAAAGCGAAGGCAAGGCAAACGCATTGCATAGCACAGCATAGCATAGCATAGCGCAGCATAGCATAGCGCAGCATAGCATAGCGCAGCATAGCATAGCCTAGCCTAGCCTAGCCTAGTCCAGCATAGCATTGCGCAGCATAGCATAGCATAGCAGAGCAGAGCAGAGCAGAGCAGAGCAGAGCATATTATAGCATAGCGCAGCACAGCATCCACTATTGCTGCTATATATATATATATATATATATATATGTATGTACTTATATGTGTGTGTGCGCACGTATGTCCCATGCATGTTGTCCGTCTGTGGGCCATCTTGAGCCCTTCGTGGGGCAGCCAAGCCTTTCATATTCACGACGGTTTCGCACATAGCACCGGCCGGGGGACACGAAACCCGACATATGATCGCATGTCCTAAATGTCTTTCTACGTATGCAAATATATGTGTATATACACATAACACCCATGTGGAATGCTGCATGTGTGTGTGCGCGTGTGTGTGTGTGCATGTATTTGTTCAGCACCGCGTCGTAATGCCTTTCATCCTCGTTGCCGTTCAGCCTCAATTCCCTGACTCGCAGAGCCACGCAAGAGCGTGCAGCAGTGCATTGCGTCATGCGGGCATTCTTACGGACCTCGAGTGGCGAGGCACGAGACCCAGCAAGCAGTGTTGAGCATCCTGCAGAGAACAATGTTCCAAGCAGTGTTGAACAACCTGCGGAGACGGTCAGTTCAATCGCGGCCGTGAATCGATGGTTGACTGTGCAAGGTGCTGCGTGTAACACACCAGACTTTCAAAAACTGCGTGCGGCAGTTTCGGTGCTCACGAAGACGCCCAACCCTCGACAGGAAGAGGTGCCCCCTCTTTGCTCTTCATGGAATGTGCGACAGAAGGGTCAGAGACAACGCCGACCATTTGATATAGGTGTAGGTGTCGATGTAGATGTAGGTGTAGATATAGATGTAGATGTAAAGAGCTCCCCAGTGCCCCGCCCTCATCTCCGTGCCTGCTTGCTTTTGCTGCTGTCTCGGCGACTTGCTGCCTGCTTCTGCTGCTGCTTCACTTACGGCGTGGCGTCGGCGGTTCTGGCGCTACTACTACTACTACTACTACTACTACTACTACTACTACTACTACTACTACTACTACTACTACTACTACTACTACTACTACTACTACTACTACTACTACTACTACTACTACTACTACTACTACTACTACTACTACTACTACTACTACTACTACTACTACTACTACTACTACTACTACTACTACTACTACTACTACTACTACTACTACTACTACTACTACTACTACTACTACTACTACTACTACTACTACTACTACTACTACTACTACTACTACTACTACTACTACTACTACTACTACTACTACTACTACTACTACTACTACTACTACTACTACTACTACTACTACTACTACTACTACTACTACTACTAC